GCGAGGACACCACTGGACCGAGGGACAGGCAAGTGTCCGTACTTCAAAAGTCAGCAGCTACAGTATTAGTAGCTGCTGACTTTTCCCCAGGTGGATCTCTGCTTTAAGACTGTAGTCACATTTAAGGTTTCATGAACATGTGCAAAATCATGCAATTTCATGTGCATTTACGAAAACACAAAAACAAAAAAACAAAAAAAAAACAAAAAAAAAAAAAAAAACACACCACAGATTGCACAGGGGCAAATAATCTCACACACACCAGAACTGTTCAAGAAAGATGGGCAGCGCAGGTGAAGAGACCATTAAAGCATAAGTAAAAGGAAAAACTTATTTTTGTTTTAGAGCAGAAAGGGTAGGAACACCTGTCAGGCTTTTATTGTCTGTGCCCCTCTTGGGGAGATTCACCTCTCTATTTGACCATTATCACCAAGACTGAAAGAACTTGAATTTACCTGTACAAATATATGTCTGTGTGACCCAAGTTCCACTGAACCTAGCCTTACCCAGTACTCCATATTACCAGAAGCCAAGAATACTTGAATTTCCATGTCCTCCAATTTAAGGTGGCAATTCTTAATCATTTGTTCTGTTACAGCAGCTTTGCTCAACCTTTTACACAAAAGGGACCACTTAAAAGTATTTACAAATCTCAGGGATCCCCTGCTAAAACTGCTTCATTAGGGGTTAGTGAAAATAATGCCTCTTAAACTGATCAGCATGAACAATGCAACCCTTACAGTGGTGGTCAGAGTGGTGTTGATTGCAGGCAGGCACCAACAACACATAATAGCAAAGGGGGGGTGATTACTGTACTAACATCGCTTGTTACAGTGAGGGAAATAAGTATTTGATCCCCTGCTGATTTTGAAAGTTTGCCCACTCACAAAGAAATGATCAGTCTAAAAATCAAACAGTAGGTGTATTGTAACAGAATAGCAACACAAAATTCAAAAGAAATGCATGTCTAACAAATTATGCACGGATTTGCATGTTCATGAGGGAAATAAGTATTTGATCCCCTTCACAAAACATGACTTAGCATGACCTGGTGGCAAATCCCTTGGTGGCAATCACGGAGGTCAGATGTTTCCTGTAGTTGGCCACCAGGTTTGCACACATCTCAGGAGGGATTATGGCCCACTCCTCTTGGCAGATCCTCTCCAAGTCATTAAGGTTTGGTGGCTGACGTTTGAAAATCTGTGGAGGGAGCTGAAAGTTTGAGTTGTCAAACGGATTAAGGTCTGGAGACTGGCTAGGCCACTCCAGGACCTTAATGTGCTTCTTCTTGAGCCACTCCTTTGTTGCCTTGGCCACGTGTTTTGGGTCAGTGTCATACTGGAACACCCATCCAGGACCCATTTTCAATGCCCTGACTGAGGGAAAAAGGTTCTCACCCAAGATTTGACGGTACATTGTCCCATCCATCGTCCCTTTGATGCGGTGCCGTTGTCCTGTCCCCTTAGCTGAAAAACACCCCCAAAGCAGAATGTTTCCACCATGTTTGACAGTTGGGATAGTGTTCTTGGGGTCATAGGCAGCATTCCTCCTCTTCCAAACACGGCGAGTTGTGTTGATGCAGATTTTGGTCTCAATTGACCACAACACTTTCAACCAGTCCTCTGCAACATTCAGATGTTCAGTGGCAAACTTCAGACGGGCATGGATGTGCTTTCTAGAGCAGAGGGACCTTGTGGGCACTGCAGGATTTCAATCCTTGTTGGCGTAGTGTGTTACCAATTGTTTTCTTGGTGACTGTGGTCCCAGCTGCCTGGAGATCATTGACATAATCCTCATGTGTAGTTCTGGGATGATTCCTCGCTGTTCTCATGATCATTGACACGCCACGAGGTGAGATCTTGCATGGTGCACCAGACCTAGGTTGACTGACAGTTTTAGGTTTCTTCCATTTGCGAATGATTGCACCAACTGTTGCCACCTCACCAAGCTGCTTGGCGATAGTTTGGTAGCCCAGTCCAGCCTTGTGTAGGTCTACAATCTTGTCCCCGACATCCTTGGACAGCTCTTTGATCTTTGCCATGGTGAAGAGTTTGGAATCTGATTGATTGCTCCTGTGGACAGGTGTCTTTTATACAGGTAACAAAATGAGATTAGCAGCACTCCCTTTAGGAGACTGCTTCTAATCTCAGCTTGTTACTGTATGAAAGACACCTGGTAGCCAGAAATACTGCTGAATGATAGGGGATCAAATATTTCCCTCATGAACATGCAAGTCAGTGCATAATTTGTTAGACAAAATAGCAACAAAAAATTCAAAAGAAATACATGCCTTAGTGTTACTATACACCTACCATTCGATTTTTAGACTGATCATTTTTTTGTGAATGGGCAAACATATTAAAATCAGCTGGGGATCAAATACTTATTTTCTTCACTGTATATCAGTTTTGTTCAGCCTGCTTGGCCAAACTGGGGGGAAAAAAAAAAAAAAAAAAAGTGTGTGTGTCTCATGAGGCACAATCTCCATTCTCTTCCTGTTTAGGCTATGGGACAAAACGTCCTGCCAACGGGACACCGATGGCCAAAAAAAACCCGATTGGGGTTACACCCTTCTCTTACTCTGTTAAAAGTGTAAACGTTCGGCCTTTACCCTCCATTCACATCAAGCAGACTCTGAAATCATAGTTAATTACAGTTAAGTTGAACTATTTCAAAGCAGGGGGACCTGTCGATTTCAGGTGCAATTTGCAAGACATCTAATACAAAGGTCTATGCAAAACACACCAAAAAGCAGTGCATGTACTATTTATGACCACTCCCAATTGTGGACAATAGGGTGTGACTTGGCATGCAATTTGCAAGGCGCAGGGCATGCAAATCGCAAGCCAAGTAGCACCCAGTGTGAACTAGGGCTTAGTACCACTTTAGGTTCACATAAGCGTATTGGTATTTGCCACATTTTTCAGTGTTAGAGCATTTTTACAGATTAAAAAAAACAAAAACAAAACACCTCTAGAAACCCACTAGTTCTGGGGGTTTTTTCCAGCCAAAAAAACTCCTACCAAAAAAAGGTTTGTGTGTATGGACACATAACATGCTGGGAAGTTTACTGTCTGTAGAAAAAAAAAAAAAAAAAAAAAAAAAGCCAAAAACAGCAGATGTAAAAAACGTGCAGTGTGCATGAGGACTTAGAGGAACTCTGCCATGGTCGAAAAGAATACAACGCATCAGTGTAAAAATGTTCTCCTCTGAGCTCAGGAATGAAAACAAAATTGTAACATTTCATCACAGGGAGGAGATCATTTTGAGAATGCAAGCACGCTACAATGTTTTCATAGTTTCACAGCACTGCTGTGTGCATTCTGGTGCAATGTGAGCCTGCAAAATAAAGAAAAAAAAAGAAAAAAAAAATTTAACCCAAAAAAAATGCAAAATGTAAGTGCTAAATATCGCAAAACAAATATTTAAACACATTAGGTAAATAACGCATGTTTTTTTACTGGACTGACTACTTTTAAAATAAATACCACAAGTCATTTAAAACGCAAAAATTCATATTTATCCCTTAATGAATTGACCCCATAGAGCACAGCTGCCGAGCAGCGACCGGGGAGGTCCAGGGCAAGGAGAGCAGGCGCGCAGAGCAGCGACCGGGGAGGTCCAGGGCAAGGAGAGCAGGCGCGCAGAGCAGCGACCGGGGAGGTCCAGGGCAAGGAGAGCAGGCGCAGCAGCAGCAGCGACCGGGGAGGTCCAGGGCAAGGAGAGCAGGCGCGCAGAGCAGCGACCGGGGAGGTCCAGGGCAAGGAGAGCAGGCGCGCAGAGCAGCGACCGGGGAGGTCCAGGGCAAGGAGAGCAGGCGCGCAGAGCAGCGACCGGGGAGGTCCAGGGCAAGGAGAGCAGGCGCGCAGAGCAGCGACCGAGGAGAGGGCAGGCGCGCGCAGAGCAGCGACCGAGGAGGTCCAGGGCAAGGAGAGCAGACGCGCAGAGCAGCGACCGAGGAGGTCCAGGGCAAGGAGAGCAGGCGCGCAGAGCAGCGACTAGGAGGTCCAGGGCAAGGAGAGCAGGCGCGCAGAGCAGCGACCGAGGAGGTCCAGGGCAAGGAGAGCAGGCGCGCAGAGCAGCGACCGAGGAGGTCCAGGGCAAGGAGAGCAGGCGCGCAGAGCAGCGACCGAGGAGGTCCAGGGCAAGGAGAGCAGCGCGCAGAGCAGCGACCGAGGTGGTCCAGGGCAAGGAGAGCAGGCGCGCAGAGCAGCGACCGAGGTGGTCCAGGGCAAGGAGAGCAGGCGCGCAGAGCAGCGACTAGGAGGTCCAGGGCAAGGAGAGCAGGCGCGCAGAGCAGCGACCGAGGAGGTCCAGGGCAAGGAGAGCAGGCGCGCAGAGCAGCGACTAGGTGGTCCAGGGCAAGGAGAGCAGGCGCGCAGAGCAGCGACTAGGAGGTCCAGGGCAAGGACGCGCAGAGCAGACGAGCCAGGGCAGGAGAGCAGAGCAGCCAGGGCAAGGAGAGCAGCGCGCAGAGCAGCGACCGAGGTGGTCCAGGGCAAGGAGAGCAGGCGCGCAGAGCAGCGACCGAGGTGGTCCAGGGCAAGGAGAGCAGACGCACAGAGCAGCGACCGAGGTGGTCCAGGGCAAGGAGAGCAGACGCGCAGAGCAGCGACCGAGGGTGGTCCAGGGCAAGGAGAGCAGACGCACAGAGCAGCGACCGAGGTGGTCCAGGGCAAGGAGAGCAGGCGCGCAGAGCAGCGACCGAGGTGGTCCAGGGCAAGGAGAGCAGGCGCGCAGAGCAGCGACCGAGGTGGTCCAGGGCAAGCAGAGCAGACGCGCAGAGCAGCGACCGGGGAGGTCCAGGGCGAGGAGAGCAGACAGAGCAGTCTGCACTCCATGTGTACAAAGTTACAGAGGGAGGGCCCGCACAGGGCAGCACTGGGGCCCTCCTGCAGGTCGCAGCAGCCATGGCAACACTGTGCAGGATTCCCTTCCGGGAGTCACGTGAGCCGGGCCCCTCGCCGGTGGAAGCCCCGTGCCTGACACAAGTCACTCACCTCATCGCCCCATTTCAGCACGTCCTTCTGCCGCTCCTTCACCTTGTGGTAGATGTTCAGGAACTGGATGATGCCGTGTTGCCGGACGTGGTCCGCGTACTTCTTGGTCTCTTCCCAGCTAAGCGGAGAGCCGGCGGACAGCAGACCCATAACTGCGGCGTCTTGTGACAGGGAGACAGAGCGCGCTTGCTCGGCACAGCGATTAACACAGACTCGTTCAGCAAACCGCACACCTCTCACGCCGGTTGTCAAGCGGCTCCTCCCCCCACGAGTGTTATGAGGCGGCGAGCAACTCACGTGATTGGAGCTGTCACATCCCGGGTCCCCGCCCATGTCCAAGGGGTGCTTTAGCACGGCTGGGCGGGGACAGTGCTCGCGCGCCAAGTTGTCCGTCGGCCCTTTGTTGTGTGGGCGGAGCTGTGGGGCCCTCCTCATCATGACTTGGCACTTTTACTAGAGTTAACATAGTCGGTGCCATAGAGTGATGTGGTGGATTTGTGCTGGGTAGTTTGTGTGTTCTGTACGGATGAACGGCTCCACTATTCCAGCATTTATACTAATGCATGCTTGAATAGTCTCTTAATGGTGGCCTCACACACACACTTCTGTTTTATCTGATCAATATGTGATCAAAAACGAATCAGAAACATTGAATAGTCCTACCTTTCCTTCAAATTGGTTTAGACCTCATGCACGCTAGACACTTTGGCCCTCTCTCCTAGGCGCCTTTCCTCCTGTTTTTGCCAGAAAAAAAAACTGCTTGTAAACAAGAGTAACGCATTTAGGCGCGTGTAGGTGCATCAATCGCTTGGACGTTAATTCATATCATTGGCCAGAATGATTTGTGCCACTTTTCTGGCAGAATGACCCTTTAAAAAGGCCTAAACCAGATTCAAGAAGCCTTGCTGCCAGTTTTTGTAACTTTACTGAAACATGCAGAAGATTCCAAAGTGGTGCTATGGCTGAACTAGATTCCAAAAGAATTACCTCCCGTTTATACATAATGAAACTGGAGGTAATTAAGACCAATTCAAAGTTGCCATACAGAGACAGACAGAGTGCCTGTCTCTGTACACTGTGTAGCAGAGTGGCATGTTTGCCACCACTCCCCCTCCCTAGCTGTCACTGGTTGTTATGGATGCTGTTAGGCCACTTTCACATGGGCAATCAGTTTAGATCTGTCTGGCAGTTTTTCAAAAAACGGATGTAGACTGATGAAAACGTATTTGAACTGAAGATGGATGTGCAAACTGATATAAAATGAATCCATTTTTTCTTTGGAAAAAAACGTGACTGAATGAATGACGCCTGTGTGAAAGGGGCCTTAGTTTCATAGATGACAGGCACCTAGCAACCAGTGACACTGACACTAGGTGGAGCCTGATGGGGAAGCTAAAGCAGGCCATACACTGGTCAAATTCCAAACAATTTTTCGATCAACAACATAGTTCGTTCTGTAATCCGCTGGTGCCACCAATGATTTGGAAAATCGGTCTTTTTCACAAATTTTCCAGCATGCCCGATAAACAAAATGGGAAGGAATCACAAAAATCAGCCGGTGCCATTGCGACACTAACAGAGCGAAAATTGCCCGATTATTCTTAGGCCCGATTTTCGAACGAAAAATAGTTTGAAATAGACCCATGTATGGCTGGCCTAAGACACAAATCCCCCTGTCAGAAGTACTTTCTCCTTGCAACTGACAGCAGGTAGTGAGCAGATTCTACGCCAATAGCAGACTGTCTTTTGACTATCAATCTACCCATTGCCTGGTGTCAATCACAAGGGGAGCGAACCCATTGAGGAACTGTAAATCCCAATCAGGCTTCACCCTCCCAGCTTCAAAATTGCTTGCCTGATGCACTGTCTGTGTCACAGGGGTAGTGACGGGAGGTAGCCCAGATGCACTAAGAATGGACTGTGTGTAAGGACACTCTGGCCTCAGTGCTCCTCTGCATGACAAATGGTGCTTGCATCATGTTTAGGTACCTGTTTCCAACAAGTGCATGAAGTTGGGAAAAGTGCCAACATTTGTTGTGCTGAAGAATGACAGGATTCTAAAGAATGTCATAAACTAACTTTATCAATTCTTCTGAATGTGATGATGTGAACAGCTTTATAGATTATATTGGTAACTACTTTTCATGTGCTGTTAGTGCCCTGTGATTGTGCATTGCAGCGCACATAAAACGTGATGGTGTGAATGGGCCCTTAGGTTGCTACCTTTTCTGGGAAAATGATTATATCTATTCCGTTAATAACATTGGCAGCAAGGCACGTTTTCCTGCCAAGAGTGTAAAATACTGGACCACATGGTAACCCTATCTATACCTCATGTGATCAGCTTAAACAATCTGAATCCCCCAACTCGTCTTAACGCTTTCGTCTTCAATTTGATCTACCAAGTTCAGGTGAAAACAGCATGATAGTGAGAACTGACAGATATTTACTAGATATAACACATTCAATGACATTGTTATAGTGGAATTGCAGGCTTTGTGTGGAGTACAATGTTAAGGGCAGTAGAGAATCAGCCTGGGGCAGGGTTAAGAGAGGGTTAATTGTAGAGGGCAGGTACTTTCCCTTGTTTATTAACCAGCTGATCAGAGAGGCTGGTTGATGGAAGTTTTGCTGTCTGCAGTGAGGAGACCAGGATGCAGCCTGGAAGTCTCCATAGCCTGTCTTTGACCTGCTGGGTGAGCTTGCCTCTAACAAAGACTGAAATACTGTGCATGCTGTGGCTGGAACGTTGCAAGTTATTCATATAAGACTGTGTTGTATGGATGGGAAGATTTACCTGTCTTGCTTGAGCTGAATCTGAAGACAGAGCCTGTCACTTTTACATAAATAAAGCAGATTTTAAGTTTACTGAACTGATAGCTAAGAGCCTGTTTACCCCTCTGATCCTGACAATTGGTGGAGGATGCGGGCAATTTGAGGGGTGCAAACCAGTTTCATGTCCTGGGCTAAAGCTGCACAGGCTGTAAAAGCATCAGAAAAAACAATTGAGGAACTGATTAAGCAATTAATACAGGCAGATACGCAGGCACACACCAGCTATGAGCAGGTCTTGGCACAAACAGTTATTGCTCAACAAGAGACAAATTGCTTACTGGTTGAACAGATAGCGGGTTTACAGAAGGCAGTGACCCAGCGGGATGAAATAGTGAGAGGTGGCCCCATTGTGCAGGGTGACCCACAGAAGGCTGTCCAGCGGGCTCTACAAAGATGATGGCCACAGATAACATTGAAGCTTATTTGGCGATGTTTGAGCGGATTGCAACAAGAGAAATACTGCCTAAGAAAGACTGGGTGGATGAGCTGGTCCTTTCCTGACTGCAGAATCCAACTGATGTGCTGTGACATGGCCCCAGAGACAGCACAGGTCTATAAAGCAGAGATACTAGCCAGGCTGGGTGTGACTGTTACTTTGAGGGCGAGCTGAGTTCATGCCTGGCGCTTTGACAGGGCTAAGCCTGCCCACGCACAGCTGTTTCATCTAATGCACCTGTTCCAAGATTGGCTGAGGAAAAGTTACCCACTCAGATTGTGGAGTGAGTTGCACTGGACCAGTTTCTGCATGGTCTTCCTAGGCAGCAGCACTGATGGGTTGCTCAGTTGAAGCCCTAGTCCTTGGACGAGATGGCTGCCGCCGTAGAAAGTTTCTGTGAAGGTCTTTCTGCAATAAGAGAGCTGGGCTGGACCAAGGAAGCATATTCCAATGCCAATATGGCACCTTTAGATCACATGGTTCATAATAGGAAGTTAGGAGCATGTCGGCAGAAAACCCTCCTGAGAGTTGGAAAGGGGAAAGAGAACCCCGTATGGTTTGCTGTTGGTCCTTCCATCAACTGGGTCATATGGCAGCCTAGTGTTCAAAGCGAGAGGAGCCTATGGAATGCCACATGGGACGACGTCACTCCATGTTTATGCAATATGTGCTGCGAACAGCCTGAGTGTGTGGTGCGGGTCAATGGACAAGAAGTTGTAGCACTCCTTGACTCAAAGAGTGTGATCACCCTGCTCCAATCAAACAGGTTGCAGGGAAAGGTGATACCAGGGGAACATATTGTGGTCACCTGTGTGCATGGTGATGTCAAAGACTATCCAGTGGGCTGTTTAACCCTGTCCACATCAACGGGAACTACTACATTAAAAATTGGAGTGTTTCCTGGATTGTCTCATCACTTGCTAATAGGATGTGACTGCCTCATATTTTGGGACTTGTATGAACAAAAGCTGAAGGCTTCAGGAGCCTCCCCTGAAAGGGAGGAACCCTCATATGAAGTTGTGATGGAGGGTAGGCAGGACAGAACACACAAGGCGGATAGCAAACACGCAAAGCTTTATTGAGACAATTGACAGTCACTCAATGGGGGGATTGCAGGGAGGGTGACAGCGCCCATGTAGAAATAGCAAAGAGAGGGCCAAAATACTTGCAGTCCAGCCCCAGGGACAAAGTTAAAGTCTCTACAGCAGTTTGTAATCCAACAGTGAGGTAGAGGGGCAGTACAAGAACAGTTCAGGCAAAACGGGAAGCATACACTCACGGTTACGACAGGGCGCCCGAGCCCTCTGGGAACAAGATAGTGTGACCCAAGTATCTGCCAGAGTCTGGAGTATGCGTGGCGTAGTCCATGGTAATATTCCCCCCGAGTCCTTGGTGCCTGTAAAAGGACAGCTGGTGTGGTTCTCCCTTTAGCTTGGGGCTTGCATGGCAGCTTGCGTTCTCCCCCTATCCTTAGGGTCTCAGGCTGGGTAGCTTGTGGTCTCCCCCTATCCTTGGGGTCTCAGGCTTGGTAGCTTGTGGCCTCCCCCTATCCTTGGGGTCTCAGGCTGGGTGGCTTGCGGTCTCCCCCTATCCTTGGGGTCTCAGGCTGGGTGGCTTGCGGTCTCCCCCTATTCTTGGGGTCTCAGGCAGAGTTGGCTATGAGGGTCCCGCCGCAGCTGGGATCCCTCAGTGGCTTGGCAGCAGAAGAGGATGATCGGGAAGAGCCCAGCACCGGTCTCTTAAACCAGTGTAGGACGCTTCCCGGTCATCCTGGCAACCAGGGGCGGGCGGCTCGACTTCCAAGAGCCGAGGCAGGACGAGAGACAGCTGTGGTTAATAAAGTTTGAGCTAGAATACACAAATGAAGTTGTCTACTGAAGTTTGGGCTAGAATACACAAATTAAATTGTCTAACGAAGTTTGGCTAGAATACACAAATGACAGGGGAAATTAAAAGGGGGGGAAGTGGTTAATGAAGTTTGGGCTAGAATACACAAATGAAGTTGTCTAAGAAGTTTGGCTTGAATACACAAATGACAGGGGAAATT